TATATATATATATATGCATATATATGTACTTATATATGTATATATGTGCACACACACACACTCACGTTTTACCCCTCATGTTCTCTTGCCAGCATGAAAACGGCGCCGAAATTTAGCAATTCATCTGTACCCGTGTTCATCCCCCATGATGAGGAGCGAGACAGCGAGGTACACGTTAACTTTCTCCCTGTTTCGTGGCAGTGAAAAGCAAAGTCAAGTGCGAGATGTTTCGTGTTTTTCCCCTTCACTAATGAAAGAAATAGGCAAAAAAGAAATGTTTGTTTTTAGGGAAAGAAAGAAAAAGCGAAAAAATGAAAAATAAGAAATAGCGAGAGAAAAATACTTTCACATTTTGATTTCGTGTTATGAAGGTCATTGGAATCTGAAATAGAATGATAATAAAGAAAAAACAACGAAAAAAAGATAGAAGTAACAATTTCCTTGTGAGGATGATGTTTTTCGACGAAAAAATGTGAAATTTGGGTAATACATATTAGAATGAAAATAAGAAATGATAATAACATTTAAATTTCTGGCATTAACAACTAGAGCATATGAAAGGCACTAATTATAACAATAATTGGAATAAATAATATGAATAATTTTAATTCATACATACATATACGCAAACACACACACACACATATATATACACATAAATACACATAAATATACAAGTGCGTGTGCTTGCTTGTGATTATTTGTCTGCGACATCCGTGGTATGCTCTGCTATTTGTGTCTGTGCCTCTCTCTCTTTCTCTCTCTCTTACTGTTTCTCTTCTTCACATCTTAAAGATAACATTCCTCACTCTCTCTCTTCTCTCTCTCACACACACACCACACACACACACACACACACACACACACACACACACAAACACATACACGCACACAAACACACATACACCACACATACACGCATAGAAAACACACACACACATATCCCTCTCTTCTTTTTTTCCTATTATCTCTCTCCTTCCCATTCCCTCTCTTCCTCCTACT